TTGACATGTCTGCAGTATACAATTTGGGGGTCCTCTTGAGTTCACAGTTCCTGCTAGAAGAGCTGTGGCAGCTGTGGCAAGGGGGCCTTTGCACACCTTTGGGTTGTGTGCCAGTTGTGCCCATTCCTGGAAAGCTTTGCTCAGTCACCCTTATGGTCTTGTTTAGATTACTGCAGTGTGTTCTACATGGAGCTGCTTTTGAAGAACATTTGGAAACTTTACCTGGTGCAGAATGTAGCTGCACAGATAGTAAATGGTATCAGATACTTGGCATATGTAACAATACTACTTTTTGAGCTGCATTGATTGTCAATGTGTTTCTGGATGCAATTCAAGGTGCTGGTTATCGCAGTAAAAGCTCTTCATGGCACTTTGAGTTACCTAAGAGACTGTCTTCTCTCAGCTGTCTCTAACTGTCCAATCTGGTCCAACAGGTTGGGCATGCTGGGGTTCCCATCAGCCAAGGAACGCTAGCTAGTGGGGACTAGAAGATGTTTTCTCTGTTGCAGTCCATTCTCCCTCTAGATCAGTGGTTCCCAACCTTTTCTATACCCTGCACCTCTAGAACGCTTCTGATATATTCTCGCAGCTCTTACAAAAGTTCAAAATAATCGCAACGAATTATGCATATTTACTATAATTTTGAAACTTCGAAACTCACGTTTTCACACCCTTTGGAATATCATCACGCATCCCCGGCTGGGAACCCCCGTTCTAGAGCTTAGGATGCCCCCAATCTTGCTGGCCTTTCATAAGGTCTTGAAGACCTGATCACATGCCAGACCTGAGCCCGAGTGCAGTAAGGACTCCATTTCTTAATTATATCTGTATTTTTCTTAGCTTATATAGACACAGACACACAGAGATATTTGCTTTTTAACTGATTTTATCATTTTCAACAACCAGATTAACTTTTCTAAGAGCAGCTATAGAAATGGAATAAATAAATGAAAACTTCTAGCACACATCTTATTCTCCAGTGCAGCTTTGACTTGGAAAAATCAGTCACATTTCAATATTTTCTTTTATCAGGTGAGCTGCTGAGTCACCAGATCACAGTGGAATATTAATACCATCAATCAGGCAGTGTCAGGGAGAGAGTTTTTATACCATTTGTTTAGTCATTTAAGACAAGGCTACTTTAGAACACATTTAACTCACTGAGACTTTTATAACCTTCAAAAGCCTATTTTAGCCTAGCTAAACAGTTAACTTGAGGTTTCAGAAACCAAATTTGAAACCTCTGAATGCAGAGATTTGCTGTGCTGATAATCTATGCCCCTCTTTCATTAACTTTGATGTATATGTCATGTGTGTGTGTCTGAAAAATGTTCATGGAGAAAATTTATCCATGAGGTTGCTAAGAGTTAAAAATGACTTGATGGCACCTAATCAATCTGAAAAAAGTTGTGTCTGCTTTGAGGAGCTGGTATCTTAAAGTTAAAGTGACTCTTAAAGCAACCACCACTTTTATTCCAGATTTTTGCAGGAGTTTGAAAAAAAGATGAAGTTTCCTGAAAAAGCAGTGACATTGCTTGTGCTCTAACAAGGTCCAAGACACCAAAAAAGTCATATGTGAAAGGGGGAGGATGAAACGGTTGGTTGTAAAATGTTGAAAAACATGCAGTGGAGGATTTCTGTGACATGCAAGGATTTATAAGTCTAAAACTAAGGGTACAGAAGTAATAAAAGGGGCTATATTAAAAATACAACTGATTTTTCAGCATTCCCATGGTCATTTGATCAAGAGTCAGATCTCTTTCAATTTTTCTTTTTGCTTGACTATCTTTTACTCTTTTTTGGAAATGTAATAAGTGTAACAGAAATTCAGGTGCTTCGTAGCCAGGAGGCATTTATGTGCCCCACAGCATAACACAGTGGCCCAGTCATATAACCTCCATTTACATGCTTCACAGCCAGCATTTAACAAGCAGAATAAACTGGACAGAAAAAAAAAAGCAAGTTAGGTCCTGCAATATCTTGTTTAACGAACTTGGGTGACTTGCTTAATGACCACTGGGGAAGTGAGGTCATGGTCACATGATGCCTCACTTAACTATGTCAATTAGTGATGGAGTAGCCACTTAAGGACTCCCTGTACTTGAAGTAATGACACTTGTTAGGAATGTAAGCAGGGCTTGCCAGACAGGCTGTGATGGAATGTAGCAGACTGGATTTCCACAAGGAAGAAGGTATGTTCCAGAGACAGCTCAGTCCAGATAGTTGTGTGGGAGAGAAAAGAAGGTGAAGGCAGCCTCAGAGTATATGGTAGATACAGACAGGACAGTGCTTCACTTTGGAAAGGTTCTGTCTACAGCAGGGGTCTTCAAACTTGGCCCTTTTGACTTGTGGACTTCAACTCCCAGAATTCCTCAGCCAGCGTGCCTGGCTGAGGAATTCTGTGAGTTAAAGTCCACAAGTCATAAAAGGGCCAAGTTTGAAGACCTCTGGTCTACAGGGTTTGGAACAATAAGGAACTCAGCCTGAAAGAAACACCGCATGTCTTCTTGGACACAGGATAACTCTTACATGTTTGGCCAAGAGAAGGTGGCTTCCCTTGCCACACCATCAATACACATCTCTGCAAGGGAGAAAAAGCCATGTCCTGGGTCATTTACAGAAAATCTGATTGTTTCAAAACTTCAGGAAGAAATGGTGAACCAAGGCTGGAAAATAGATAATTATTCCCCATCGCTTCTCATTAAAGTCTGGAATTTATAAGAAATGGTTAAAAATCCAGAAAGGAAACAGGAAATTTTTGCTTCAGAATCTCTGCTGTTTCTATGGAAAGAGATAAATGTATAAACAGGCACTCCATTAACATTGTTGTTGCTGCTGCAGCAGTCCATTGTCTTTAGGAAATTAGACGTAAATTCAGCTTTTTTCCACTTTTCATGCTAAACATGAAGATATAATATAGTCCTTAATCTATTCTTATAATACGAATTGGAATCTAGGAAAGCCTCTTCTCTGAGGTCAAGAAGAGTGTTCATTTGTAGCAGACCAGTGCCATCACGCAAGCCCATATGGGTAATTTATCTTCAGCACAGACTCAATACAATCTGAGCAAAGAAACCTTTCTTTTGGACACTTTTTATCTTGAATTATACACTGATTCTTTCTTGTTGATTCTTGAGTTATACAAGAAGCCAGATATAAAATATTCCATTACAATTAATAAATATAATATAACAGTAATTACAAACCTTACTGATAAATCATAGGGGTTGGAGACCGGTCATACAAGATACCTGCTCCATAGCAGTATTTCTTGCGTAATGGAGTTCTTGATCCTTCTCAAATTTAGATCAATAACCTATTAGAGAGAAATCTGTTTATATTAGGCTTCACCATATGACAACGTGGGCATTTTAATTATCCATTTCTTAGGTCTGAGAGGCATGTTTTGTTGGGATGATCATATCATCGTTAAATGGCCGCTGAATGCTACATGAAACAGCTGCACTGCAGAAAATAACTTACTGAGCCGGTAGCAAGGAAAAATGCTCAACAAAACCAAGTCACAGCCCTCCAAGACATTTTTATGACATGTGACCACTTGCAATGAGTATGAACACTCTCCTCCTTATATAAGAGGATGAGAGAAAATAAACTCATGACTTTCTGACACTTCTTTTAAGATACAGGGCAGTGGTGGCGAACCTAAGGCATGTGTGCCAGAGGCGGCACCCGGAGCCCTCTCTGTGGGCATGCGCCATCGCCCCAGCACACGTGGTCTCTAAAAGATCACCATCACTGGCCTAAGACCAGCCAGCCTGGAGCCACCATTGGGGAGCTCACCATCCCACCTGCCAGAAATCCCCTGGATCTCCCCCAACCCTGCCCGGCTCCCACGATGTCTCTCCCCATAAGCAACATTTATTTATTTATTTATGAGACTTATATACCGCTTTAAGTGCAAGCACTCTCTAAGCGGTGTACACCAGTAAGCAATGTATGTATATATTTACATTGCCCCCAACAATCTGGGTCCTCAGTTTACCTACCTCGGAAGGATGGAAGGCTGAGTCAACCTTGAGCCGGTGAGATTTGAACCGCTGACCTGTTGAACATCAAGATGGCCACGCCGACCCTGGCCATGCCCACCCAATCTGCCATGACTATTGCAGCCACACCCATCCAGTAGCCACACCCACCCAGTCTGCCAAGCCCACTGTAGCTGCACCCGAGTGGGCCACACCCACCCGGAACCCGTCGATACATAAGTGGGTTTTGGGTTGCAGTTTGGGCACTCGGTCTCTCAAAGGTTTGCTATCACTGATAAAGGGACTCAAAAACTTTACTTTTGATAGGCAAACACTCCCTAATAATTGTAGTAAGATAGTTGCTACCCGTATAGCCAGGCATTTTCCTCCAAAGTCACCAAGAAATTCAATCTTTTATATTTTATATATTGGTTGGCCAGAAAGCCAGGCAATGGCTCTATTTCTTCCTTCTCTCCTTATGGGGTCCAGAGTAATTTTTTTAAAATTATAGAGGACAATTGAGAGGTTCCCGCCTGATACGTTTGAGACTGAAAAGGGAGCAACCATTTCATATATCTTCTCTATGTTGCTTATAGGATGGATATTTGTGTGTATATATACACACACACATATAAAGGAAGTTGGGAGAGAAAGAGATATTATATATTATAGGGCAAGCTTGGGAACTTAATTTCTGTATGCATCTGTATAAAAGCTTCTCCAGACTTCTGACAGTGAAATGAAAGGCTGGGCTTGACAGCATAAAATAGATTAACACTTTAGTGTAGTGTAAGTTTTTTTGCTAAGCTTCTTGCCTTCTGTAACTATGCAGCTCCCCACAGCAGACATCGGTAGTGGTGCGAACAGAAGTTCTCACATTTCCAAATATTCAGGGTTCAAAAAGGTTTAGGGATCTCAGCTGTAGCTTCATGGAAGAAAAAGTTCACCTAATGGATTTTTGTTATCGTAGACTAACTACATCTGCTATCTAAATAAATAGCTTTGAAAACAATGTGCGATTCTACATTCCTTTGACTAAGGAATGCTTTAATTGAACATATGTTACATTTCACATTCCAAAAGAAAATTGGCTGAGTATCTTTACATTTTTTTTTACTGGTGCCAAAAAAAACATTGCAGCGTATGAAAACATGTGCACCTGGCTGAGAATTTAGCTTTCAAGATATGCTAAACTGATTAAATGGTAAACAATTTGCCTGAACACCATTCAGAGGTCTTGTGGGATACATGTTGTGTCACAGTAATTTATAGCTTATTTATTAACAGAAAAAGGTGCAAAGGGAATAAAAAATGTTACGTGTTAGTAAACACAGCAATTTAACTTGGCTGATCAAATGTCAAGTTGAGTTAAGAGAAATCAAAATTATTCACAAGAGAAATACTTTCCATATAGAAACAAATAGCTAGAAAGTATTTGATAAATATTTAGAAGTTAAGAGCTGAATGAACGAACAAGTGAAGGGATAAAGAGATTTTGGAAAATCTGATTTCACCAACATCTTAAAATCATTTTTTTAAGCACAACCCAAAAACAACACAAGATATACGGAAGCCTTGTTTCCAGTCTTCTAGTCGTCTTTAACTTTTATTTTCAGAGGCAAATTCAGTTTAATGTTTGATTCCTGAGATCCCTAAACGCCAGTGAAAAGTATTTTTTAAACTGTATAAAATTTATCAATAGCTAAAGCATTTTGATTACCAGTTACTGGTAACTGGTAATCAAAATGCTTTAGCTATTGATAAATTTCTAAAAGACCTCTGAATTTTTCAAAGCAAAGAAAATTCATTGGCATTTGAGAAATATGCCTCTTTTTCTAGTTCTCCATGGCTGCCCTTTTTTTTACTTCTGGCATTCGTGAAACGTGTTCCAAAGAGAGTGGAAGAGAGTCTGGCAAGTCTTTACACCATGGGGAAGCCCTCCTTCTACAATGCAGTGCTGTAAGCGAAAAAGTATCTGATTGGAGATAGGACTGAGCCTCAGCAGATTGTTCAAACATTTTCACTATTAACATGAATTAAAATAAGGTATCAATCAATTTAAAGGCTGGATTCTCAGCATTATTATGTTGAAGCCAATCATTACCTCAGTGAATGTGTAGCTGTGTTTGTGTGTGCATTTATTTTCTTGAACAAATTAACTCTGTTTCAGAAAACCACGTCAGAAAACAAATGTGAAACAAGAACACCTACACCAGCTTATTCCAACTAAATTAAGCTGAAGATATTAATGAAAATAACGTCAAACTGTAAACAGCAGAAGATGGGATGTGAAGACAAACATCTCATTTTAGGCAGCTTTCCACAGCTGTCACAACTTCTTGTAAAATGTCATCTCGATTCTCCCTCGTAATCTAAAATTTAAAAAGAACAGAATACACATAAAATATGGAATATCCGTTTTCACTTATTTAAAGTAGCCAAAATGCGAGGCTTAGAAAGTGGAAATATTTATGAAGACTTTTTATATGTCCCTAATTAGAACAAGAACAAACTAAGAATTGTCCAAATAATTCCTTTGTTACCATATTAGGATGGAATAGTCTTTTGGATTCTGACTTTTTCCCTAAAATTACTTGCTTTTAACCCATGCAGGTTAAATAGGTTGCACATAGTACTGCAGATGTGAAAATATACAGACATGCAGGGGAACAGATGGCATATCATTAAAATAGAAAAGTATACAAGATTTATATACTGGATGTCATGCCTTTATTATAAAAGTAGGGCTCTGAAAAGAACTCGTCCCCTGAAAATTTTTTCTGAAGTGTGAAACAATTTGTAGCCAAGATATTTAGATACACTGAAAGTAATAAGGGCTAGTATTCCAAGAATCCTGGAGCTAAGTTAGCACGAGTTAAATTAGACAAATGGGGGGAGGAAACATCGAGATGGGCGAGGGACAGCCTTTGGACTCACTCAGGTCATTGTTTTTATGGGGTATTTTTTTTTAAAAAAAGGACTGAAGTGGGAAAAAAGAAATGGGACTTTAAATCTATAGTCCTTGAAGCTTGTATCAAAATAAATTGACCTAGATGAATCAAGAATATGTTGGGCATTTTCCTGCATTGATTTTATGTCTGGTTTCTCTGGTTTGATGAGATTTCATTTAAAAGGATGCAACATTTTGTTCTAGGAGCTAGAAACAAAGAAAAATGAGACTGACTTAAGTTGACCAAGAATGAAAATGGCTCTGAACACAAAACAGCACTATGAAATAATAATGATATAATCAAAAGTTATAAAATAGAACATGCCATCAAAACCTAACAACTTCAGCTGCTAAAGCCTGGTGCTGGCTCCCAATAGCATTTTCTCCCCTATCCCTTGGGAAAAGATTGAAAAAAAGAGGTAAAAGGGTGTATTCTTTACTAGGACTATTTCAAAAATAATTTGTAGTTAAGTGCCTTGGACACTGAAAAGCAAGGCCCTAGCACCCTTCTGTATGATCCTGAAAACAGGTATCACTATGATAGTAAAGTTAAATACTCAACCAAAGACTTGAGCTTGGGGAATAAAAGGTGTTGTTACTTTAATGAACAGCAGGGAGGCGCTATAAACTTGTTCAACCCAAGCCATGTTTTCTGAACCATTTTCAAAGCACACACAAGCTTTTTCATTACACTTCTCTTTTCCTCCAATAGAGAAGGTTTTAATAATAATAATAACAACAACAACAACAACAACAACAACAGCAGCAGCAGCAGCAGCAGCAGCAGCAACTTTATTGACACTTAGAATGTACACCAATCGGCATACATCAAAATGAAATTTTGTTGCATATAGCTCTCAATAACCAGCACTCCAGTGTTGCAGGCAGCAAAGCGTTTCTCCAGGGCACACATGGAGTCATATGCAAGCTTTGCCAATAATTCATTACCTGTGGAACTTAGTTAAAAGTTCACAAGAATAAGCAATGTTACTAAATATTAAATTCACTGCCTTTACCTCAGATTCAGTTCAGATAAATGTGAGGCAAGACAACTTTATTTCTGTCAAAACCACTGGAATGGCCACTGAAGTTGTGTTTTGTATTTTCCAGATATTTGGGATCTAACATATGCTTTTAATGTTGTAACTGAATTTCCAATGTTATTAGTATTAATATTGCAAGTAACAGGTATAACACAATGACCTATACATAAATGAAACCCATTATTAGCAATAGGCTTTAGCATTACTACTGTTAAAGAGTATTAGTGATAATGGAATGTTTATAATATTTTTTTTCCATATTCTCTATAATGCATTTGTTATCCCTCCCCTCAGCTTGTCACAATACACATTAGGTAAATCTCTTGACTACTGCTGTTTATCTGGGAAAGTTATGAAGTCACATTTTACAGGCCCACATTTAGAAGCATCTCACAGAGAAAAATTGTGTTTAGACTTTTGAAAATGGATTGGCATATAAGCTCAACGAATTGATCTATTTGCAGCCATTTAAAAGAAACATTTTGACTTCTTTATATGTTATATGTAAAGGGGAAGTGAATGGGATATAGTTTAAGCTTCATAGCTGAGGACGGGTGCAGCTGAAGCCCAAGCATAAGAGCTAAAAGAAATCCACCACAGAATCAACTATATTTCCAGTAGAAGTGAGCACCTGTTTTTCCAAAGGGAATTGTTCTAAACAAATGTTAAATAAGATTTCAGACCAATAAAAACAGACTTTCTCAGTGGATCTGTCTGTGACTTACACTGAAGAGTTTCACCTCTTTTCTATTTCTGATCTCTTCCACAAGTCTCAAAGGCTTTCCTTTAGGCACTGGGATTGTTCCAAGTATCACAGTCCCGGATCCATTCAAAATTTGTTGGACAGCTTGAATAAATGTCTGGCTGAAGAGCTCCATTTTACCAATCTCATCAATTATGCATACCTTTTTCATTGCACTGCTGTCAAAATCCGTCTATGAAGAAGATATGTATAGCATAAAAATACTTATTGGCAAAATGCAAAATATTTTACATGACTTAAATCAAAGTTTATATGAGGGATACATTATCTGATGCCTCCTGATCTTTGGGCTCCAGCTCAGAGGCAGCAGGGCAAAACAGAAAGTTTTCAGTGAGAGCTGCAGGACAAAACATTGGGTCATCTACTCTGACCTCTAGGAACAATAATTCAAGATAACTATTTCTTACAAAAACATTTTACACTATAGTCATAATCTGAGAAAGACCATCAGCCCAATAAAAAGTTCCATATTCAAAATTTACACTTGCCTCTGTGTCTAGACCAGGAGTAGGCAACCTTGGCTCCACAAGTCATAAAAGAGCCAAGGTTGCCTACCCCTGGTCTAGGGTGTGTATGAGGGGCTCTTTGTAGGTTACAGAACCACACTTCCAGCTGTTCTACTTATTATGCACTTTGGTAAGCAATTTTTGGAGGGGTTGTTCTTCAACATCTGGAGACCACAGGTTCCTCACTCCTATCTCAATAAGTGTATCTATTATTTTCTTAAAAATGAAAACATAGAATTATAGGGTTGGATGGGACTTTGGAGGTCTTCTAGTTCAACCCCCTGCTCAAGGTAGGAGACCTTATACCATTTCGGTCAAATGGTTGTCCAGTCTATTTTTGAAAGCCTCAATGATGGTGTATTCACAATTTCGGAGGCAAGCTAGTCCACTAGTTGTTCTCACTCTCAGAAAATTTCTCCTTATTTCTAGGTTGGATCTCTCTTTCATAAGCTTCCATCCATCACTTCCCGTCCTACCCTCTGGTGTTTGGAGAATAGGCTGTCCCCTTCTTCTCTGTGACAGCCCCTCTTCAAGTATTGGAAGACAATTATCATGTCCCCCTAATCCTTTTAGGCAAAAACGAATGGAAAATCAATTGGTTTTATGCCTTGCTGAATTGTTTCCCTCTATGTATATCCCTCTCTATATGTAAAGCCAAAGTTAATGAAGGAATGCAAGAACTATTAACATAACTGATAAAAGATATTAAAAGAGAATCTAAACAATAATATAAGCCTGAAAAAGGAGGAAACATGAGAAAAAGGCTCAAAATAATCTGGCTTTGATTCTGGTATAAACAGAGGGAAATTTTACCAAGCTTTCATAATTCTGTTATTTTTTCCCCACAACAACAGAGTTTCAGCAATTCCTGTGGTGTCTTTCTTGAACTGACTTGCCTTGAAGGGCTGACATTTTAAGACCAATCTATCTCATTCTGAGTGACCTCATGAACATAACCTTATGTTTTTCTTTGCAACAAGATAGAAGAAGTTTGTCACTGCCACATCCTGGGACTTTTTTCAACTTCTCCATTTAGGTCATTCCTGTAGAACTTTTCTTAGAGTTTCCCACCCAAATATGAACCAAAACCAATGCTGTTTTGCTTTTCAAACACAGACCAAATTATCAAAGTGTTACCAAGCTGGATTCAATTTCTTATATATTATCAAGAGATGTCGCAATTGAAGTTCAAATAATTTGGAGGTAGTCTGACTACATTTAAAGTATTTATCTATGATAAGACAATAAACTATATAGCTGAAATACTATTGACAAATAATATTTGTAAATCTACATTGGAAACATCAGCTGCTAAGGGCCAGCGAAGGACCATATTGGCACTTGTTTTTTGTAATGTATCTTACTTATGAGTCTACCTTGCTATGTCTCTTGCATTACCATGAGAGATACAACGAAATAAACATGTTTGTTTGCAAGTCTTTAAATTCATGATCACAAAATTCTTCCATCAGTGAATAAACTTCCACAAATGTGTGAAATGAACACTTACAAGATACAATATGCTATTTAAAGAATAAACATGATCACAGTGTTTTGAGAACCCCCACTTTTTACATGCACATTTAAAGCACCATAAAATACAGCCTATGCATTTTTATGAAAATGCATACATTATTTAAAAAAAACATAGTTCTACTATGTAACTTACGTTTCTCAACAAAGGAAGAGCCAACTGTTCAAATGAAGCTAGATCTACAACATATTGACCAACACGATATTCATGCCTTGCTGCTGAATGACCAGAGCTACATAAAGAAAATACATACAGCCAAATATTTACTTAACTGTAGCCAATCAAAACTCTCAGCAAATCAAAAGTCTTATATGTTTCAAAACACAGTAATGATCTTCAGGGGAAAAAATACATAATAAAACAACATGGGATATGTTTACATATGTGGTTTTTAATTATGTTAGTATTAGAGCCTTCTTGCCACGCCTCTTTTTCTTCTAATGTTTCCTCACCTTTCTTAAGTACTCCAGATGCCTGCTAGCATCCCAATCTATGTAATAAATAAAACATAAAAACAGAGCCACAAAAAGCAGTTTGAAGGAGCAAATGGTATTCAGAGACATAATGGCCTTGAGGTGACAGACCAGAGCAGAGATTGCCCACTGTCCTTTCAAATGTTCTAAAAATATAACATAATTTTTAATTGAGATTATTTTGCTAATTTCTTCAGCCATCAGCACTGCACATTATTATGGGGTGGTGCTAAACATGTCCCTCCTACTTTCACAAAAGCTTACAGCAGGGGTCTTCCAACTTTGCCCTTTTATGACTTGTGGACTTCAACACCCAGAATTCCTCAGCCAGCCATGCCCAGCTGAGGAATTCTGGGAGTTGAGGTCCACAAGTCACAAAAGGGCCACGTTTGAAGAACCCAGGCTTATAGTATTGATTTATGGGCTAATTTCTTACCAATTAAGACCAACATGCCTTGGCATTAGCCTAACAGTCACCACATGGTAATTTTATAATCTCATCTGCCACTTCAGAAATTTCTGTTCTTCCTGCTTGTGAACCATAATGACCTTACAGAAGCATTCCACTGAGGGTTTTTTTTTAATAGTGCCAGAAAATATATTTTAAAAGTTCATTACCCAACTCTAGATAAAATTCCTCTTCTTCCATTCAGCGTGACAACATCAAACCCCGTTCTCCGGCCACCTTCTCTCACTTCCTCTGTGTAAAATCCATCAATGGGGATACCAGATGATTTCAAAATTTCAGCAGCTTTCCGTACCAATGTTGTTTTTCCAATTCCTACAGCAAAACCATTTTGTTTAGCCTTACTTTAAATAGTATTTATATAAAACAAAGCAAATATTATTTTAGGACTGTTTGACTCCTTTTTTCTACTTGTCTAATACAGTGTGGATATTCATACTGTAAATTGCTTGCTCTCCTAATGCCAAAAACACACACACCCTTCACATAACACAGTTAAATGTGTTGGGGGCAGTATGACATGTGAACAAGAAAATTGGGCCACCTGACCCAATTTCTTAATTATAAGAGGGTTGATTATAGTCCTTCAGATCTTTGAACTATTGTCCAAACAGCTTATTGGGGTAGTTAATCAAACTTTTCTCCATTTGAAGTACAAACACTGCAAAAATTGACTCTCTACAAACATTCCTTCTCTTGAGTTAGTGGGAAAAGAAATGAAAGCCACCAACTAGAACACGGGTTCTCAACCTTGGCAACTTTAAGACTTGTGGACTTCAACTCCCAGAATTTCTCAGCCAGCAAGGTTGAGAACCCCTGAACTAGAAAAAGGCAGTATTACTCAATTATCCCAACTTGTGTGCTTTCATCCATGGAGGTGAATGATTTATCAGAAAAAAGGATCAGATATATCATACAGAGGCAGTAATAGAGTAGATATAACTGGTTTTCTTCTCTCAAAATTATTTACCTCATTTTTATTAAATTCTACCACTCCTTTTGCTAGCTTCATAACGTCTCCTGATCTTAAACAAACACCTTGCTCTTACCCCAAAGCCTACAAACATTAAGTAATCACATAAATCTCAAAACTTCCAATACTGTGATCTTGTTCATGATGTTCTACAACTCTCAAGTCTCTAGGGAATGCCTCCACTAATTTTCCATAAGTAGTATTAATTAGGGCTACCAGATCTGCTGGGTAAAACTCCAGATGACCAGTTGATTGCAGTGAAGAAATAGAGTTTTCTGTATCTTTTTGTTGACATCTTGCAGGCCAGATCTGAAAACTTTAGTTCTTATTACTGGATTGGTCCACAAAATATCTCCATGGGCCTTGTTCTTTGTTCCCTCTAAATCCCTCTCCAAAATGCTCCTTTTTCAGGGAAATATAAGACCCTTCTTAGTCCCTTTATCTTAATCCCTTACTCTACTCAGAAGACCAGACTTGATTTGATTCTTTATCAGCCAGCGTACCAGACAATACCAGGCAGCAGACTTAAAAAGAACCCAGCTTCCAGATAGTAACTTGTCCATGCAGGAATGTGAAGTGGGAGTGAACTTGTCAACTCAAGAGAAAAGCACTTTTCCTCTGCAGCTCTATGGAGAACAGTAGTTGTGTTTGCTGTACAGCAAATGCCATTCTCACCCCTTGTTTTTTCCAAGGAAAAAAATAGGCAGAATCGTTAGAGCAGAGTTCAAAGTTGAGGCTCTGCAGGTACAATGTGTCTTGAAGATGCCAAGCCCCTAGTTTATAGGAGCCAAGCAAATATGTGTAATTGGAATAATTATATTATCTTTCCCTGTTTATTCACAATTTATTTATTCCTTTCCTGGTTTTTTTTTAATCCTACCTTTCTCCAGGACCTCAAAGCAAGGATAAATACAAAGGGACTCTCCCCCTATTTCATTGGTGCATAACCTTGTGAAGTAGATGGTGGGGAAGAATAGCTAGTCCAAACTCTTCTAGTAAAGATGGATTTGAATAGAACCCTCCTTAGCTCTAGTCTAACACTGAGTCAAAATATAATTGTTCCAGATTACAAGATACTCAAGAATAGGAATTTGCACATGAAAATATTAAATACATACATAAGAAGGTGGAAGATCTTATAATATTGGAGGGGGAGGAGCATTCCTCCTTTGCAACAATGAAGGGTGTGTAGTTAATACTGGGAACAGGAGACCCATTATCAGACTTGAACCTCTGCAAGCAATGAACTGAGTTACAACATATTGAAGAGAAATCCACTGCCATTTTGGCCAGGCATTCCCATGCCTCAATTTCTGAAGGCCATCAACAGAAATACAACATCTACTGAAGAATTTTGTGGCTGCTATCTCTGTCAAGACCCTCTCTAAAGGTAATTAAGGAAGGATTTCATTTTAATTTCCACTTCCTACAAAACACTACCCCAAAAAAGCTTGTACTTATTAATATAATCTCCACTTCAACCAAAACCAAACTGCTGTCATCCTGTATAATCCTATCAATATATCTAGAGTCTAGACGATTGTTTCTATAGTTTACAATTTAAGACTTTCAGGAATCCATTCTAGGGACAAGTGACCTGCAAATAACTAATAAGAAACCGCGCTGTGGCCCCGCCCTATAAATATGTTTCAATCCAAAAATAAGCCCCACTGTTGTTTCCATCGGGGGAGCATAAGTTGGGCGCAACTCCGCGGTCTGATCTGCAAAAGGAGCTCGGAATTGGTGTGGCTCGCAATTGTACCGGGAGCAAAGCCTACTGAATGCAAAAGGACAAACTGATCCCCCGGAACATAATTTACTCGGAAGACAACCTCTCTCTTTCTCTCCACCCACCCACAGCCGGAAATAATGCGTTGTGAAAGCGAGGTAGAATCTGCAAATGTGCTTTGCCGGCTCTTCCTGCACGGGACACCGCCGGCCGCGTGCCGAAGCAAAGCCCGATTTCCCGGCGGCCCGGGAAGGCCTCCTTCTCTTCCCAGCTCCTCCCGCTAGCTCTTCCTCGCTGGGGGCCGCGACCTTGCCCGCTCTTCCCTGCGTTCTCGCTAGGCGGAGAGAGAGGAGTTACCTGGGGGTCCCGTGAGGAAAACGTGCGTGGCCATGTTCAGAGAGCCCTGCGCGGAGCGGGGGAGAAGCTAGCGGCCCTGGGCCTTCCCCCCCCCTTCCTCCAGCCGCTTGGGGGCGGAGAAGAAAAGCCGTGGTGCAGCTGGCTTGTTTTATTTTGGGCCAACCTTTCTTGCTTTTTCGTTTTGCAATCCTTTCTCGCTTCATTGAGAGCTGTTTTTCAGAGATCTGGAGGATGAAGCGCCCAGCACGCTTCCTCCAGGGATTAAATTAAATTAAATCCAGGGACTGATTTCAGCGCAGAGTTCTCCGGGCCATGCAAAGCGGTTTGAGTCGGGGGTCGCTGCTCCGAATGGAGTATAATGTAGTCCTCGACTTACAACAGTTCCTTTAGTGACTGTTCAAAGTTACAAAGGCACTGAAAGAGACTTATCACCATTTTTCACACTTATGACCCTTTCAGCATCCCTCCCCCATGGGCACTTGATCAAAATTCAGCTGCTTGGCAACTGACTCATATTTATGACGGTTACAGTGTCCCTGGGTCATGTGATCCTCTTTTGCAACCTTCTGACAGACAAAGTCGATGGGGAAGTCAAATTCACTTCACAACCTTATTGCTGGGTTCCATAGTAAGAGATGTGATTTATAAAGTAGTATAGTGTTGCTTTATGATATGGGAAATGTAAAAATAATGAGATGATTTAAATGAATGAAATGTTTTGGATATTCAATTGTAATCAACTTGGAGAAAATTATAACTGATAAGAAATGTTCTGAATACTGAAGGGAACCTAAGCTTAAATAAGAACAGGCAAGAACTAGATTTAAGAGAGATGACTTGACATATCAGATGGAGTATCATATGACAAAACATTTGTCTAAATATGGTTAAAAGAATAGTTAAATCTTGGAAATGAAGAAGTTTTACAGTAAGAGAAATATGATCTATAAGTAATATACAGTAGTATTTTTTTCTTTTTTATGATATGGGAAATGTAAAAATATTGGGATGATTTAAACATGAAATATTTTGAAATTTTAAATGTAATCAGTTTTGAGAAAACTATAACTGACAAATGTTTTGACTACTGAGGGGAAACTAAGCTTAAATAAGAGTTCTGAAAACAGGACCTATAGTACTTTAAATAAGATTATTTTTTGCACATGCAACTGTAAAATAAGCTGAGTAGAAAAGATATTACATACTGATGTTATTGTTAAATATTAGAAAAATGTTTATATTTAAATCTGTATGTGTTGAAAGTATTAAGAACTGTATTTGCTTAATGTTGGTAAAAGGAGAACTTATTGGAAGAACAGAGGACCAAAGAAAAGTATTTCTAGTTAATATGTTGATTATGAAAGTATTAATTAATTAATTAATTAATTAATTAATTAATTATTCACTGTTGTTAAATATATGAACCCAGACAACATGTTGTTTACTAAGCACTAAAGATTGTCATTCTAAAAAAATCAATAAAATATACTAAAAGAAAAGAAAAGAAAAGAAAAGAAAAGAAAGTATCTTGGAATCCCCAGACCACCCTCTGAGAACTGCTGGTCTACAAAAAGAAGAAAGTTGATTCAAATAATCAAAACAAGTATTCCTTGCAACACTCCACCCCACTTTATTCAGGAGACTTACCTGAATCCATGATAAGTAGATAATATTGATATTTTTAGATGTATTAACAATGAAGTACAGAAATAAATATTGATATGACCATTATTCGTGTTTTAATTGATTAAAAAGAATTATAAGTTAAAAGAGCAGCAGAAACTTGATGGCAGGGCCCTGCAGACCTTCAGACTTGAAGAGAAAGTGATGATTTATTTAAAGCATGTGAAGATGCAAAATAGCCCCTGTCTGCAACTCTTGTTGCATCCTTCTCTGGAATTGTATGGCTGTGCATAATCTTGAGAAAAAACAGATATAGTTTGAGAAGTTGCAGGCAGGTGCTGCTACAAATTCTGAATACCATTTTGTCTCTGAACCCAAAGCACTGTGCAGGTCTAGCAGCTAGGAAGCACCATCTTAAAAGTAGTGAAAAAACAGTCTTTTTCTACTTGAGAGAATGCCTCTACCAAAATTATGTTTGCTTGGCATCTTCATGTATCATCTAAAAGAAGGCAACTTCTTTTCAAACTGTTTTAGTTTTATGTAAGTTCAAATGATAGAAAATTAAAACTCATATGATCAGTTGAATATGTTTAATTATAATACATGTCAAGCCTAAATTCCGAGGTGACATAGTGAAATCCAGTGGAGTTTAATCCCTTATTTGCGTACACCTAATGGACAGAATGGACAGAATCTTGCCATACTAAAGCTATAACACCGAACCCTACTAGATATATCCTGAAATATTCTTGGGCAGAGGTTCCCAATATTTTGGGCACCAGGGACCGGTTCTATGGAGAAAGGTTTTTCCGCGGACCAGAGTGTGTGGTTTTGTCTGCTGCCTGCATCCCATGGATGGGGCTTTGCTTGTTTGTGCAAACCGGTTGCTGGCATGTTGCAGCCCAGTACCCGTCCACAGACCGGGGGTTGGGGACCCCTGTTCTAGGGTTTGACTACCTTGAACCTCTTTCTCTCTCCAATTCCTGGCTATATAGTCTCTTAATCTGGGCCTCTCTCTGGCAAAATTCTGTGCTGCCAAAACTCTTTCCCATTGTTCCTGCTGATGTACATTCCATCATAACACATTTATTCTGAATTTATTCTGAATACAGGTAGTCCTTGCTTAACAACCATTTGTTTAGCCACCTTCGAAATTACAACTGTGCTGAAGGAAGGGACTTATAATTAGTTCTTGTAGTTCTGGTTGTCACAGGACCCGCGTGGTCATGTGAACAAAATTTGTCCCCTCCTACATTTACGTTCTCTCCCCCCCCCCGCTGCCTTCCATAGCCCAACTGCCCTTTGTCATCTTCGCCTGCCACCCAGTTGTAGCAAGGAGTGCTATGGAAGCATCCCACAGGCCAGGGAGTGAGAGCTAGAGGAGCAGGACCTCCCTTCATGCTCCTTCAGCACAACAGCCAGGATCTCCCTTTATGAAAGAAGGACCCAACTACCCTGGCATGAAAGAAGGACCTGTCCAGTAGTGGTATGTGGAATAGCAGTTACGGCAGCAACTGGTGGGTAGGCAAACTGCTGAATGGGCAGTGAAGGAAGGAAGGTAAGTGGAGGGGGGAATTGAAGTGGAGGTAGTCCGTTCTTCCAATAATGGCTTGGATCTGGTTGTTTTTAAAATATTTGAGTCCTTTACATAGGAAGGCTTTCAGATTACTTATTGGGCGAAGAATGACATCGAAGGCTCCATGCTTAGTGCATGTGACGTGAATTAAATTGTTCTCCAACAACAGCCTGACTCATTTCAGGAGTGTTCAAACTGATGCTCCCAAAATTTTTGAAGGATGATGAGAATAAAAGATGCTCTAAAGAAAAACTGCAGAAGCTTGGGTGCTTTTAGATGGATGGCTTTTTATACTACTGATTAAATGTATTATGCAGCTATTTTTGTTTTTGTTTTGTTTTTTCTTCTTAGCAATTTCTTTTGCAGTACAAAAAACAGGAGAAAAATGTAGACAATACCAGAGAGTTGACACTGGGTTCCCCTTAAATCAGCTCAATAAGAGTATTCTTCAGAATAATTCCTTGTAATTACTAATTGTGCCGAAAGGTCCTTTGGCAACAGTAGTCAATCTATTACTGATAGAGATTTTTAAAACTCAAATTGCATTTGTATAATTTCTTCTTCAGTTGAAGATACAATATTTTAATGTTTTGTTTGAAAGTTGAGGTATAGCACATCAGCTCATTCTAGCAAATTATCAAGGAAAAGGAATTTTATACCTCCTATAAGCGTTTTAAATTCTGGATGAATTTCTAAATGGTTAGTTTAAGTAAAGGAAATCAGTTAAAGGCCAGTTTCCAGATCAGTGACTGAGAAAAGAGGTCATTTGATACATATGAATGTTGAACTAAGATAGGAAGGAGAGCAGAAAACAATAGTGTTGTATTCCCTCTGCCTTTAATTGGTTTCAGTCATTAACAATGAAAGAAAAGTTATTTATAAACCAAAGCTCACAGTCTAGAGATACTCAAAACTGAAGGGCAAAAGGAAGCAATGTTTCTAAACCATTTATTTCATTATATACAGACCTATCTGGAGCTTTTACAGATGCAGATGACAATCTGAGTTTTTAATATTTTCTAAAAGCATTGTGAGGGCTTTTTAAAGAAATAGTATAATTAAATATTAACATCCAATACATGCTTCTTTTTTAAAGTGTTCCTGCCCATAAGTATATTCTTTCCTTCATACATGCTCAAATACCCAAAGATTGAACATATTAATTAGAAAGGTCTAAGATGCACAGTTCACCTCTGAAAAGAGGAAAAAATAAGGAAAAACCAATACATCTTAAATGGCATTAGCAATATATGTTACCTCAGAAAGTTATAGAATTGAGAATGATGCAAACTGGTAAGAATTTGCTGTGAGAAACAATGAAGTTAACTTGAGTGTTTAGGATCTTGACCCTACAGGACTATAATTGGAAAGAATCTGAAATAGAGGAAACAAACTCTTCAGAAACAAACTCTTCAGATGTTGGAAACTCAAGGAGTCTTAGCAGATACGAAGCCTGCCAAGAAATCAGAATTTAGGGCTCTGGAAGTGAGAGGGAGGTTATCCAGAAGAGTAAAGAGGACAGAAACAAACCTCAGAATTTGGAAATGGGTATAAAAAGCATTTGGTATAGAGATAGACTTGATTCACATAGGCAGAGGGAGAGAAAGGAGTAGCCAAAGGAAGAGCTAGAAAAAGAAGAAGGAAAAGGAAGTAGCCAGCATAAGGAAGTAAAGGGACTAAGAGGAAAAGCTTTAAAACAAGGGACCAACCAAAAAGTATATTAATGAGTAAGAAGGAAAAGGCTTGTTCGGCAGCATCTGGCATGTGTGGGTGAATGGGAGTTGGATTGTTTAACAATGTGCTATGATTTTGAAGTGTACTGCACCTTTAAAGACAATTGCTTAAGGCAGAAATTCATTCCCAATGGGTTCCATAGCTTCTGTTGTTTACATTTTCTCTTGTAATTGTCTGCTGCATGGTTATGGATTCCGAATGCAAACAGTAAAGTGAAGCTGTTCTTGTCTGTTCTGGTGGGTTCATATTTTTCTTAAGGGACTTTTGGAGAGAAAGATGAAGTTGCCCCATTTTAGAGCTCCCACTGCTGGCAGGACTGTTGGCAGCAGGCTTGTTCAAAGTGATTTGGACAGAAAATGAAGGGATTCCGCTGAGAAATCCCCTTGAACTCAGAATTAGCTCCTATGTTAAAATAGAAACTTTAAGTGAGCAACATGTATGCTCACACCAGAGCAGGCTTTCTCTCTACAGCAGGTGTGTCAAACTGCCAGCTTGTGGGCCGGATGCATCATAGTGAAACCGCGTCCACCCCATTGCCGGCAATGGCAAAAAAGTCGCGATACATCACGACACATCACGTGACGTTGCAAGTTTGACACCCCTGCGCTACAGAGTTAGAGGTAACCTACCTGCTGCTATCTCTACTGTGCCTTTGCTGCGCTTGGGAAGAGTGGAGACAGAAACCCAGTGTTCTAAGAGTGTTATGATGGAGTGTCCATAAATAATAACAATAACAATAATAATTGTAATAATAATATAATAAATAAATAAATAAATAAAGTTGGAAGGGACATTGGAGGTCATCTAGTCCAATCCCCTGCTCAGGCAGGAAACCCTATGCCATTTTGGACAAATGGCTGTCCATTCTCTTCTTTAAAACTTCCAGTGTTGGAGCATTCACCACTTCTGGAGGCAGGTTGTTCCACTGGTTAATTGTTCTAACTGTCAGGAAGTTTCTCCTTAGTTCTAGGTTGCTTCTCTCCTTGATTAGTTTCCATCCGTTGCTTCTTGTCCTACTTTCAGGTGCTTTGGAGAATAGCTTGACTCCCTCTTCTTTGTGGCAGCCCCTGAGATATTGGAACACTGCTATCATGATCCCCGTCGTCCTTCTCTTCGTTAAACTAGACATACCCAATTCCAGGAATCGTTCGTTATATGTTTTAGTCTCCAGTCCCCTAATCATCCTTGTTGTTCTTCTCTGTATTTTTCTAGAGTCTCAACATCTTTTTTACATCGTGGTGACCAAAACTGGATGTAGTATTCCAAGTGTGGCCTTACCAAGGCATTGAAAAGTGGTATTAATATTTTACCTGATCTTGATTCTATCAATACCACATTGGGGGATGTGTGCAATGTGTGTAATATAGACCAGCTGGATAGATAGATTAGAATGTGCATGTCAGACCAGAATGAGTGTGTGGCATAATTCTGGAGCAAATACTCCAGCCAACTCTATGTTTTCTAATTCTTTATATGTCCAGTAATATGTTCTTGCATTGGTTACAGCATACAGAACTGTAATATTTTCCCCTAGATTTAAAGGGGAGATATTGTGTAACAGATGTCAATATACCAGGCAGGAGCATGTAATACTTTTCTACAATCATTCTCACCTTTACTACAAATATCTACATTTCCTTATTTATTAAAATTGCAAAATGTTTTGAAGTTTTTTTTCCAAATTGATCTTAATTATATTTTACGTTTTTAGTTTTATTCTTATTTTTGCTTCCTGAAGTGCTATTTATGAACAA